AGCTGTTACCCCGCTACCGGCTCGGTGCGCTGCAGCTGTTACCCCGCTACCGGCTCGGTGCGGTCCTGCAGCTGTTACCCCGCTACCGACTCGGTGCGGTCCTGCAGCTGTTACCCCGCTACCGGCTCGGCGCGGTCCTGCAGCTGTTACCCCGCTACCGGCTCGGTGCGGTCCTGCAGCTGTTACCCCGCTACCGGCTCGGCGCGATCCTGCAGCCGTTGCTCCGCTGTCGACTCGGTGCGGTCCTGCAGCTGTTGCCCGCTGTCGACTCGGTGCGGTCCTGCAGCTGTTACCCCGCTACCGGCTCGGCGCGGTCGTGCAGCCGTTACCCCGCTACCGGCTCGGTGCGCTGCAGCCATTGCTCCGCTGTCGATTCGGTGCGGTCCTGCAGCTGTTACCCCGCTACCGGCTCGGCGCGATCCTGCAGCCGTTGCTCCGCTGTCGACTCGGTGCGGTCCTGCAGCTGTTACCCCGCTACCGGCCCGGCGCCTCGTGGTCCCAGCTGACACGCGGCGAGGCCGCCGCCTGGGCGACTTCAAGGCGATCTCGGGGACGGACCCGCCGGACCGTACCGCCCTGTCAGGCGATCCCTTCCGCGTTCAAGTCTAATCCGGTCTTTAATTTGAAAGTCTGGGGCTTTCCTCGTGAGGCGGCACGTGCCTCGCGTACGCCCTCTCTGTGGTGTACGGCGCGCCGGTCCGCCTGCGGCCGGCCGATCGGCGCCACCTGTTGAGGTGGGCCGCCAATGTCATGCTCTTGGTCCGCTCCCATGCGTGACGGAGCTGTTTGTCATCTCATTATCTGCTGTTTGCCGTGTTGGTCCGCCTCGGCTGCCGTCCGGCGCCGCCTTGGCGTCTCGTCACCGTCTGACTCGGAAAGCCGCGGTGTCGTGCCGTCGGCGGGAGCGGGCGACGTCCCCGGCTCTGGGAGTTCACCGACTGCGCCGGCTCCGGACTCGGCCGTCTCCGGAGCGTTTGCCGGCCGCGCATGGCGACGCTATTGACGAGGCAGGCGCGCCGGCCGCCGGCGGTGGATTCCGGCAAAGGTCAGCCGGCCGTCGGGCCCGGCTCAGGCTCCGAGGCTGCGCGGCTCTCGCCGGCGCCTCGTCCCGAGGGCGGCGGCCCATGACGCGGCCGGCGGCTTGGAGACGCGCCGTCTCCATGGCAACGGCCGTCTGGGCCGCCCCCAAGAGCGGGGCGGGGGCGGAGAGCAGCGGAGCCGATGCCGATGCGCGCCGCTGTCGGATTGTTCCGCGCGGGGTTCGATTGGCTTCGACTGTGGGCGGGGTGGGGGAGGGAGAGAGGACGGGGTAGAAAATGGTGTCGCGTGAGGGAGGCGAGGGACGGAGTAAGCGTCCGTGAGAGGAAGAGCGGCGCTGTGTGCTGCAGATACCACGCGGCTGACCGACATTGACCGGGCTCGCCGTCCAGGGCGTAGGGTGACTGTAGTGGTGGCACTGACCCAGCTCTCTGTCCAGGGCGTAGGGTGACTGTAGTGGCGGCAGTGAGCGAGCGAGCGGCGCGCCGAGCGGGGCCTCAGCTCACCACCGCCGCAGTGCGCGCGCCATGGCCACGGACGGAGTGGGCGCGGCCGAGCCGCCAAAGCCAGACCTCCAGGACGAGCCGCTGTCGCTGTAAGCCGCGCCGCCGGCCTGCCCCTTCCTTCCCTCCCCCGCCACGCGGGAGCATGGCGCCCGGCGGCGGCCGGATGGCCGAGCCGACCCTGCGGACGGCCGTAATCTGGCCTGGCGCGTGATCGGTATCGTGCTGATCCTGCGGTGCTCCCGCTTAGACGTAGTTTGATGTGCGTTGTTTTTAGTGCGGCATGTCGTCTGCATGTGATTCGCTGCGTAGCGCCTGCACTGGCGTGGTTTTGTCCCGTACGCTTCGTCGGCTGCACGTGCACGCACCGTACGTAACGTAACGCCGTGCGATGGCGAACGGCGCTCTCGCTGGCCGAGCGTGCCGTGCCGTGGCGGTGGGGCATGCCGTGTGCTGTGCTTGTTACCTGCGCCAGCAGGGAACAAGGTCAGCCGAGGTCGGCCGAGGTCTGGGAACACCGTAACGCTGGTCCGCCTCGGTCCGCCAGCACGTCCAGCACGGGCCGACCCGCTGCCAGCGGTGTCACTGGCGGGCGGACTCTCCGCTGCCGTTCCGCGCAGGGCGTTGTTTGGACGGATTAAAGGACGTCACGCGCTTCCGGCGGGTGGCAGTCTGGTATCGGCGCCCGCTCGCTGGGATGGCGCTCTGTGGCGCTACTGAGGCGTAGTCTGTGCCGTAAAAAACTAATAGTCCGAACCTTTTGAATGGGTGGTTTTCTGAGATCAGAGCTTACACTACGCTATGCCTGTTGTGTAAGGCCCGACCCCCACCATTCGGTCGCAAAACTCCAGGTCAACGGCGGGATCTGATGGCGAAAGTTAAGCTTGTTGCAATGCTCGGCACGGTCCGTCCTGTCCCCTGACGTCACCTGACCTTTAGCGCGGCCGCTGCCACCTACCACAAGCCATATCTGTCAAGGGCAATTGGTGGACGTCTAAAGCGACTCGAACCGACCCCTCCAGGGATGGGTGGATCGGAAGGCAGGCGCCGTAACCAACTGGGCTATCGGCAGGAACAAATGTCCGTATGAATCACAACCGAGAAAGGAACGATTTCTCCTCCGACGTGCAGTAAATTGTAACACTGAAAATTTAAAGAACAAGCCAGGCATGTGACAAAATGATCGTTGCGCACAAATGCGACCGTTCTTCCTTCAGTGTACATTAGGTGGCGGTAACGATTGTACGGTAGGCTCACACACCCTTTTGACGCCCTTACAGCGTGCGTGTCTCCATATGCACGGGCCCTACGGCCGACCCTGCTTTTGCTGCTTGTCGTGCATGGCGGTAGTACATTGACATGTATGGATTAATGCTGAACACTAACTAGAATTGTGTTTGGCTTACCAACGGCGAGCTCGTGTGTATCGGTTTTGCAATCAGGGGCCGAAGGCCGCCGCGCGGCCCGGGTTGTCTTCTGTAAATGCGAGAGAGCATTCAAAGCACTGACTCCTCTATTGCGTTTAGTCAGACGCAGTTGCCACTAAAGCATGTATAACCTGTAAACTGCTAGCGAAATGTTCCTAACGGATTCGTGAACAACGCTCGCGTTTCTTCCGTTTTTACTTCATGTTTTTGTTTATCTGAATGCTGATATGTGTGGAGCGAAGTTCCGTGTTGATCATATTTCTGAACGAGTCGCGCTTCGCCATCGCCTTTCACAGGGTTTGCAGGACATGCATGCTGCCGATTCTGTGGGTGGCGCTTACTTGCGACCGCCGAACAGCGTGTGACGTGACTAACCGTGTGGGCGTGTCGGCCTCAGCAGCGTCTGGCGTGCGGCGTTGTCCCGGTGAACTGACCGGCGTCGGTCTCAGCTGTCCGTCGGGCTCTGCCAGACTCCGCCGCGCGGGGCCGCCCGCGGCCGCCCGCCCCACCAATCCCAGTCAGTCGCCTGCCCGTCCGAGGGCAGCACTGCGGCCGTCGGGCCCATGCCACGAGCTCTGACGCAGCGCGCCGCCTCCGCCAGGTACCAGCGGACGGGCGCGGCGCTGAAGAGCACCGGCGAGAAGGCGTCCGGCCTGTTCGCCGGCCTCGGCGCCAAGTTCAGCGAGGCGCGCGAGTCGGCCGCCTTCAAGTCCATGGGCGAGCGTATGGGCAGCATGGTCACCACGGTCAAGGTGCGCGGCCGCTCCCCCCGTCGGCTCGTCCGGTCGCCCGGCCGGCCGACCTGTGCCCGTCTGTCGACGCGTCCGCCCCGCGGTCAACCGCTCTCCAGCCGTCTGCCGCCATCAGTCTTTTTTCGCGTGACTCCGCCCCGGCGCGTCTCTATACTCAGTTGTCCGTGTTGTTTGGTACGCTCTTACCGCTAAGTTGTTACAACGTTCCGTCGCACATTACCGTCAATTTTTTTCTGGCGGTGGCTGTTCCGTGTGAATTGCTGATACGGCCTCTCGTTGCTACGTGAATGCGTTTGATCAAAATGCCGTTTCCATCATTATAAGAGAATCGCCTGCTGCCGTCATAAAGATAAATCCTCTCTCCTCCCTCCCCCCCCCCCCCCCACACACACACAGCGACCAGGTTCCGATGTCAGGTTCGATGAAAATCACCCCGATGTGTGTGTGAGAGAGAGAGGCGGGGCGGGGGGGGGGGGGGTAGGAGAGGAAGAGGGGCGCGGATGTGATCATCATCCGTCCCCGCGCCGCGCCCCGGAACGTGTCGATATCCGGCCATTGTCGGCCGGCGCGCTGGCTCGCGTTCGCTGCTCATCAGTCGTGGTGGTCGGCCAGCGGCCAGGACGCGGTCCGATGGTGGCGGGCCGGTGACGGCCGACCCTCCCCCGCCGCACCCATCGACCCGGCTCTCGCGCCGCCGCTCCCTCCCCGCCCCCGCCCCCGCCCCCGCCCCGCCCCCGCCGCCGGTCAGGGCCGGCCGCGACCGCCGCGCCATCGATTGACCCCCGCCCCCGGTTGCAGAGCAAGGTGTCGACGTCGGGCAGCAACTCGTCGCAGTCGTTCGACGAGGCGCTGAAGGAGGCGGAGGCGGCGCAGCGGCAGGCGGAGGGCGCGCCGCCGCCGGCCGCCGACCAGCCGCAGTAGGTGGCACCAGCGCGCATTCCAGGCAGCTGTATTGTGTCGCGCGCCGACGGGCGGCCCAGCCGGGCGGGGGGCGTCGGAGGCGACGCGGCGGGCGGCCGCGGGGCGGACGGATGCGGCGCACGCGCCGCCGCGTGGCGATGGCTCGTAGGCGGTGGGGCGGCGTGGCCAACCGCGGGGCCGCACGACACGCGCCGTGTATTTATTGTTGGTGCCGTAGTGGCCGGCTGCGTGGGGCGGGGCGGGGGTGGCGGCGACGATCGGGGACATCGGGCCCGGCCGGACGGTCAGTGAGTCATGAGTCACATATCGTGCGCCCGTCTCTGCGTCCGGCCGGCCGCCTGTGAGGAGCTGGTGCGGCAATACACTGGTTTAGAGATTGACTTGAGCCGAGTCTGCCTGTTGTCCACGCTGGTGGGCTTTGATTTGGGATCGGATGAAATGTGCGGACTTGGTGTGTGTCGGCAAGTGTGTAGTCATGTGGGCCACACACGTACTGCCAGTTGACTGCGAATTTCGGGAGGGTTTCTTTGAGCCACCGGAGGTGTCCTCTCAGTTGGCGGGCTCCTCCCCATCCCGGCGGACCTCCGTTCAATTTTGCGGCTGTCTAAGACAGAGTTTGTGTGAAGAATTCACACATAACACTAGAATGACGCTTATCCCGTTATGAGGTGCGTCCATTGAAATTCCGAAGAGATGAAACATGTGATGGAATTTCCCGTGGAACCTTCCGCAAGATTAAAGTGCTCGAGCCCACATTCTCAGATGAGTCAGCCATTGCTTCTCCGGCGATGGTCGCCCTGCGTATCTTAAATTCACCGTAAAAACCATTCAGCTATTCAGTTTCTCGTCGGCAGGTTGTATTGAGCAGACTTGTTTGTGCAGCTTCGATGGAATCTATTCCGATTAACTTCCAGCGCACACGTCGATTCCATCTCTGAACCCGAGCGCCGCAGAGTCTGACGTCACTGGGACCACGTGACTCCGCCCGGAGCCGATCCCAGCCTGACATGCAGTCCGTTTATTGCAGCCGATCAGACGGGGGGGGGGGGGGGGAGTCCGACCGAGGCCGTCCCGGCTTCGTTCTCATAGACATTCGACAGCTGCCTCGATCTATGAGCACGTGACCTGTCCAAACGTCCCAGATGCCGGGGCCCCCGGATCATTGTGGGATCTCAGCGATAGCCCAGCACCATAGGCAGATCACTAAACGCCAAAAATCTTTTAAAATACAGTTTATTTGGTGGTAGCAGGCCAAGGAACACGGCGCTTCACGATACTCCGATATTTAGCGTACAGTTCCTGAAGATGAACCCAGCAGCAGCATTGGGAGACGACTTAGAGCGCGAGCTTTACACCCAAAACATGACGCGGTCGGCTCCATCTGCGGCGGCACTGACGCGCCAGGCGTCCGCCGCGCGGCCCGTCGAGGCCGCCCTGTCGCCGTCACAGCTCAGCCGTCGGCTGAGTCGCCGCCGGCGCCGGCTGACACCGAGTCGGGCTCGCTCGACCGGGGTCCGGCCCAGCCGCCCTGCGCCGCCGACCCGGGAGCCGAGCTCAGCCGCTCACCCCTCGCCGGCGGAGCTAGGTCCTCCCAGCCCCCAGCCGCGTTCCGATCAGTCTCGACGGCCGCTGTGAGCCCGAGCCGCCCTCCCATGCCTGCGCTCACTCGTATCACTAGGAATTCGCGTGATCCCGACGCACCCTGTCAGCAACCGCCCCCCTCCCCCCGAGTCGAGCACATTCGGACCGCGCCCCGGTCGGGGCTCACCGCACCGTCACATCGTCACATCACACCGAGCTCACCCGCATCACACCTCCCGGCCCGTGCCGCGAGCACGCCGACGCTTGGGTCCCGCGCGCCGGACGGCCCCGCAGCGCGCCGCCGCCCCGTCGCGTCGCGTCGCGTCCTCCTGCGCTCGCAAGAACACACTCGTATCACGTGTGGCGCCGGTCCGGCGTCGGCGTTCGGCGCCCCTGCCGGGCCGTGCGCGGCGCCGGCTGCGCGCGCCGCGGCGGCAGACCGGCGCACGCCGTCGGCCGCCCCTGGCAAGAATAAATACGCGGCTGGTCGCCCACGCGGCGGGCGGCCGGCCGATGATTTGTCCGATGAACCTAGGCGCGGGGGCGGCCCGGGGCGGCGCGCGGCGCCTCCGGTCGAGTCTTCAGGGCGTCAGCCGGCCGGAGCGGCCGCCATCGCCGGCCGGTACTACAGCGGACCCTGAAGCACGGCGTCGCCGTCACCAGCGGCGGCAGGCGGACACACACACGCACGGCAGACATTGCAGCACGGGGCGGCCCGGGCCACCAGAGCAAATCTGCCGGCGCCGGCCACACCCAGCCACGCTGAGATCGTGGGCAATACGCCGAGGTCGAGTGCTGCTTTATCGTCACGGACAGCACCCGCGTGACACTCCTACTCATCAGCTCCCAGCACTGGCCACCCGTGTGCTGACACACGACCAGCTGACCGAGAGGCGAGCTCGCCGGTCCGTGCCCCCACCGGGTACCAGTCGGCTCCCCGGCCCCTATAGACCGGTCCGATCCAGCCCACGTGCTCAGGTCCGCACGCATGCCGAGTCCGTAGCCGCGGCATTTACAGCCGTACATGACACGGGCCGCCGAGGGAAGGCGCCACACTCACCGTTGTAACCTGGTGCAGCCCGTCATCTGCTGGGCCGTTACTCTTGGCCGTCTCCGTCGAGAGGTTCCGTCTCTGCCGTCGCTCGAGCAAAAGTAAACGGTTCGCCGGAGCTCCTGCGACACACGCGTCGTCAGCAGCCGCTCGTGCCCGAGCTGCAGGCGGCGGGGTCGACGGTGCGGCCCGGGCGGGCTCGGACCAACGCGGCAGGAACGCCAGCTAACACAGCGCTGGCTGCCTGGCGACGGCGCGGGCAGACCAGCCAGCAACGCGCGGAATAAACACATAACTTTGCACTCAACGACATAGCATGCGGATATGTACATATACATGCACACATACATTTATATATACATACACACACTTATGTATATATACCTAGGCGCAGCGGCTATCACACCATCCGATCATTAGCCAGCACAAAGAGGCAGCACCATTATACCGTTAGCACGTTACTTTTTACAATCGCAGCTGACCACGCTCGGCCGACATATCACACGCCGACGGGCCAGCAGTCCTTCTGACCCGGCACGGTCATCGGCCGGCGCGCGCGCGCGACGTCAGCGCCACCTACTGTGAGCGGCGTTGGTGCGGCGGCGCCTGGTGGGCGGCCGGGTCGCCTCCGCCTCCCGCCTCCGGGCCGGCGCCGGCGCCGGAGCCGGCCAGCAGCAGGCGCGCGCCCGACTTGCGCGCCGACCACACCTTACAGGGGTTCAGGGGCGGCCCTGGGAAGACCGGACACGCGCCACCATCACATGCCGCGCCCACCACCGGCGCGGCGCGCCCCGCCCAGCGCAGGCGCTCCCGCCACCAGACGCGCGCGGTGCGCCCGTCCCTGTCAGCGGGCGTGAGGGGCCACGTGTGTGATGGTCGCCACCGACAGCCGGGGTGATGGCGGCCGGAGGGCCCGAGTAGGACGACAACTACGAGACCGCAGCAGCACCGCTTCAGCCCGCCGCCCGAGCACCCGTGTGCCGGCATCGCTTTAACTCGTGCGTTTAACGTCATGCACACAGGTCGGTTAGGCGGCGGCGCCGCGCGTGTTTCGGGCGGGTGTGCGACGACGTGTGGTGCGCCGGGGCGCGGGCCAGCCCGCCTGCGGGCGGCCCGCGGCGGCGGCGGTGGCGGCACTCACCGATGAAGCTGAGCAGCACCGGCAGCAGGATCAGGCCGTGCGAGGCGCCGTGCAGCACCACGCCCAGGTACATCCTGCAACGGCACCGCTGTTACGCCGACGGACGGACGCTGACAGCGGCGGCAACACGGAGTGTCGGCCGGCCACGATCCGCACCATCAGCACGGCGGCAGTCGCTGCTACCGAGCCGACAGCACGAGACCTCGGGAGGCCGCATGGTGGTGGGCGACGGGACGGAACGGCGCTGCTTCGCCGGCCAGCCTCAGCGACAGCCGGTGGCGGCAAACACCGCCGGGATCGGACACCACTTACCGGAAATAGAAGATCTGGAAGATCTGCGAGTGCGCGAATCCCAGCACTATGATGCCGCCAAACTTCGTCAGAGTAATACCACTGAGAACCTGGCGGGACGGAGACACGCCCATCAGCGCCACAACAACCATCAGGGGCAAGCTTTCAGACCCGCGCAGCAATCAAGAGCACCACAGCATGCGAATAAATATGCATCACGAAAATGCAGTCCTAAACCCTACTGGGAGGGGATGGGGGGGGGGGGGCAGAACCTCCTCAGAGGCGGCGCAGCTTCGGCCCGCGGAGCCAGCACGGCTCGCTGGCGTCTCTGCCCTGGGCGGGGCCGCACCTACCGATGAGCCCATGTTGGTGAGCGCGTCCGTGGCGCGCTCGACGCGCGTCGGCTCCAGCGAGACGGCGAACGCGCGCGTGATGTGGCTGCAGAACTCCACCGAGATGCCCACCGCCTGTGGAGGTGGCTGACGGTCAGGCGCCGACGGCCGGGCACCGGCACACGAGCACCACCTACTGTTACAGGCAGCGGCGCAGTCGACGCAACCCAGTACCGGGACTGTGCCGAGCATCACCGAGGAAGATTCGTTCACGTTAAGCACCGGTGAGGACAGGTCTGGCGCCTGGCAGTGAGGCGGCATTGGCCACCCCAACTCTGGGGTCTCGCGAAAATTCGGAGATACGGTGCGCCATCTCAGTAGCATGCCAGGCAGCCGCCCGCTAGCAGTTCCAAAGCGTGAGCAACACCCGTGAGGGGACCCACGCAGAATAAGCCGGCGCGTCAACAGACCGCTGGGTGTCTGGTGAGCTCGCCAAGGGGACGGCCGCGGCCGCCTGCCGCGCCAGCTCACCATGACGAGGTTGACGAGCGAGACGGCGTTCAGCGAGATGTTCCACCAGTACATCATGCCACCCAGGTTGGTGATGATGGTGACGATCATGATGAGCAGGATGAAGGCCGAGTGGAAGTCGAGGCCCATCAGGAAGAAGGTGACGAGGAAGATCGTGGCGATGGAGATGCCGAGAGCGCGCAGCACATCCGACCACATGGTCAGGTACTGCTCGTAGAACACGTAGAACACGCTGTAACGGAGAGGGAAGACGGTCACGTGACAGCGAAAGACGCAGCGTGGAGCAGCCGAACCGGAGGCACATCGGCACAGTGGCCGATCCGCGACAACGTCGAGACAACGCGCTCCCGTCTGCATGTGTAACGTGGACCCCGCCATCCACAAACACCTCGGAGCGCAAGATCGTGGCAAAAGCCTCCAGAAAGAAGAGGTTAGGAGGACGGTGGCCCGCCA